CTTGTGAGACACCGCTGCATCAATAATGGGCGGGTGTGGCCGCTAGCGCGGTGCAGTGGATTCGTTCGGCGCTCTCCTCCTGGTGTGAGTAGTTCGGGCCCCCCCTCCTGGACAGAGTCGTTCGGGCCCCTCCTCGATGTATGAGTCGTTCGGCGACGGGCCCGAACGACTCACACCGATGTGTGAGTCGTTCGGCGAGGGGCCCGAACGACTCACACTAGGAAGGGCCCGAACTACTCACACCAGGGCGAGGGGCCCCAACGACGCACACCACCTGCATTCTGGTCGAGGACGTCGCCGACGTGTGAGTCGACAGAGCCGGTTACGTGTAGGACTCGAGGACGACCGCCTTCTGGCTTGCCTCCCGTCGCCTTCTCTCTCTCTCTCTCTCTCTCTCTCCTCCTCTTCCTCCTCTTCGGCTCCTAGTCGTAGTAGTAGAAGTAGTACCAGTAGGATCATTTGTAGTACTGGTAGTAGTATGAGCGCTGCCTTCTCCTTAGTGTGACTCGTTCGGGCTCCTCGTGTTCTGAGTCGTTCGAGACCCGCGTCGTGGTGTGAGTCGTTCGGGCTCCTCGTGGTGTGAGTCGGTCGGGCGCTTCGTCCTGGTATGAGTCGTTCGGGCCCCTCCTTGCGGTGTGAGTCGTTCGGGCTCTTCGTGGTGTGAGTCGTTCGGGCCCCTCGTCCAGGTGTGAGTCGTTCGGGCTCCTCGTGGGGCCTCTTGGGGGCTGCTTGGGGGCGTCTTGGGGCCTCTTGGGGGCCTCTTGGGGACCTCTTGGGGGTATCTTTGGGGCCTCATGGAGGCGTCGTGGTGCTTCCTGGGGACCTCTTGTGGGCCATCTGGGGACCTCTTGGGGCCATATGGTGGACCTCTGGGGGCCTTCTTGGGGGGCTTGTATGAGCGCTGCCCCTCCTCCTGGTGTGACTCGTTCGGGTTCCTCGTGGTGTGAGTCGTTCGAGGCCCGCGACGTGGTGTGAGTCGTTCGGGCTCCTCGTGGTGTGGCTGGGTCGGGCGCCTCGTCCTGGTGTGAGTCGTTCGAGGCCCGCGTCGTGGTGTGAGTCGTTCGGGCCCCTCGTGGTGTGAATGGGTCGGGCTCTTCGTGGTGTGAGTCGTTCGGGCCCCTCCTCCTGGTGTGAGTAGTTCGGGTCCCCCCTCCTGGACAGAGTCGTTCGGGCCCCTCCTCGATGTGTGAGTCGTTCGGCGAGGGGCCCAAACGACTCACAGAAGGAAGAGCCCGAACGACTCACACCAGGGCGAGGGGCCCCAACGACGCACACCACATGCATTCTGGTCCAGGACGTCGCCGTCGTGTGAGTCGACAGAGCCGGTTACGTGTAGGACTTGTGAACGACCGCCTTCTGTCTTGCCTCCCATCGCCTTCTCTCCCTCCTCTTCTTCCTCTTCGGTTCCTAATCGTAGTAGTAGAAGTAGTACCAGTAGGATCAGTTGTAGTACTGCTAGTGGTAGTCGCAATAGTAGTAGTAGTAGTAGTAGTAGTAGTAGTAGTAGTAGCAGTAGTAGTAGTAGTAGTAGTAGTAGTAGTAGTAGTGGTAGTAGTAGTAGTAGTAGTAGTAGTAGTAGTAGTAGTAGTGGTAGTAGTAGTAGTAGTAGTAGTTGTAGTAGTAGTAGTAGTAGTAGTCGTCGTAGTCGTAGTCGTAGTACGAGTAGTCGTAGCAGGAGTTGTAGTAGTAGTAGTAGTAGTAGTAGTAGTAGTACTAGAAGTAGTAGTAGTAGTAGTAGTAGTAGTAGTAGTAGTAGTAGTAGTAGTAGTAGTAGTAGTAGTAGTAGTAGTAGTAGTAGTAGTAGTAGTAGTAGTAGTAGTAGTAGTAGTAGTAGTAGTAGTAGTAGTAGTAGTAGTAGTAGTAGTAGTAGTAGTAGTAGTAGTAGTAGTAGTAGCAGTAGTCGTAGTAGTATAGTAGTAAGTAGTAAGTAGTAGTAGTAGTAGTAGTATTAGTAGTAGTAGTAGTAGTAGTCGTAGTAGTAGTAGTAGTAGTAGTAGTAGTCGTCGTAGTATTAACAGTATTCGTAGTAGTAGTAGTAGCAGTAGAAGTAGTAGTAGTATAGTAGTAGTAGTAGTAGTAGTAGTATAGTAGTAGTAGTAGTAGTAGTAGTAGTAGTAGTAGTAGTAGTAGTAGTAGTAGTAGTAGTAGTAGTAGTAGTAGTAGTAGTAGTAGTAGTAGTAGTAGTAGTAGTAGTAGTAGTAGTAGTAGTAGTAGTAGTAGTAGTGGTATCTGGTCGAGGACGTCGCCGACGTGTGAGTCGACAGAGTCGGTTACGTGTAGGACTCGAGGACGACCGCCTTCTGTCTTGCCTCCCATCGCCTTCTCTCCCTCCTCCTCTTCCTCCTCTTCGGCTCCTAGTCGTAGTAGTAGAAGTAGTACCAGTAGGATCAGTTGTAGTACTGGTAGTAGTATGAGCGCTGCCTTCTCCTAGTGTGACTCGTTCGGGCTCCTCGTGTTCTGAGTCGTTCGAGACCCGCGTCGTGGTGTGAGTCGTTCGGGCTCCTCGTGGTGTGAGTCGGTCGGGCGCCTCGTCCTGGTATGAGTCGTTCGGGCCCCTCCTTGTGGTGTGAGTCGTTCGGGCTCTTCGTGGTGTGCGTCGTTGGGGCCCCTCGTCCTGGTGTGAGTCGTTCGGGCTCCTCGTGGGGCCTCTTGGGGGCTGCTTGGGGGCGTCTTGGGGCCTCTTGGGGGCCTCTTGGGGACCTCTTGGGGGTATCTTTGGGGCCTCATGGAGGCGTCGTGGTGCCTCCTGGGGACCTCTTGTGGGCCATCTGGGGACCTCTTGGGGCCATATGGTGGACCTCTGGGGGCCTTCTTGGGGGGCTTGTATGAGCGCTGCCCCTCCTCCTGGTGTGACTCGTTCGGGCTCCTCGTGGTGTGAGTCGTTCGAGGCCCGCGACGTGGTGTGAGTCGTTCGGGCTCCTCGTGGTGTGACTGGGTCGGGCGCCTCGTCCTGGTGTGAGTCGTTCGAGGCCCGCGTCGTGGTGTGAGTCGTTCGGGCTCCTCGTGGTGTGAATGGGTCGGGCGCCTCGTCCTGGTATGAGTCGTTCGGGCTCCTCCTTGTGGTGTGAGTCGTTCGGGCTCTTCGTGGTGTGAGTCGTTCGGGCCCCTCCTCCTGGTGTGAGTAGTTCGGGTCCCCCCTCCTGGACAGAGTCGTTCGGGCCCCTCCTCGATGTGTGAGTCGTTCGGCGAGGGGCCCGAACGACTCACACAAGGAAGAGCCCGAACGACTCACACCAGGGCGAGGGGCCCCAACGACGCACACCACATGCATTCTGGTCCAGGACGTCGCCGTCGCGTGAGTCGACAGAGTCGGTTACGTGTAAGACTGGTGAACGACCGCCTTCTGTCTTGCCTCCCATCGCCTTCTCTCCCCCCTCCTCTTCCTCCTCTTCGGCTCCTAGTCGTAGTGGTAGAGGTTGTACCAGTAGGATCAGTAGTGATAGTAGCAGTAGTAGTAGTAGTAGTAGTAGTAGTAGTAGTAGTAGTAGTAGTAGTAGTCAGTAGTAGTAGTAGTAGTAGTAGTAGTAGTAGTAGTAGTAGTAGTAGTAGTCAGTAGTAGTAGTAGTAGCGTAGTAGTAGTAGTAGTAGTAGTAGTAGTAGTAGTAGTAGTAGTAGTAGTAGTAGTAGTAGTAGTAGTAGTAGTAGTAGTAGTAGTAGTAGTAGTAGTAGTAGTAGTAGTAGTAGTAGTAGTAGTAGTAGTAGTAGTAGTAGTAGTAGTAGTAGTAGTAGTAGTAGTAGTAGTAGTACTAGTAGTAGTAGTAGTAGTAGTAGTAGTAGTAGTAGTAGTAGTAGTAGTAGTAGTAGTAGTAGTAGTAGTAGTAGTAGTAGTAGTAGTAGTAGTAGTAGTAGTAGTAGTAGTAGTAGTAGTAGTAGTAGTAGTAGTAGTAGTAGTAGTAGTAGTAGTAGTAGTAGTAGTAGTAGTAGTAGTAGTAGTAGTAGTAGTAGTAGTAGTCGTAGTAGTAGTGGTAGTAGTAGTAGTAGTAGTAGTAGTAGTAGTCGTAGTCGTAGTACTAACAGTAGTAGTAGTAGTAGTAGTAGTAGTAGTAGTAGTAGTAGTAGTAGTAGTAGTAGAAGTAGTAGAAGTAGTAGTACTAGTAGTAGTAGGAGTAGTAGTAGTAGTAGTAGTAGTAGTAGTAGTCGTCGTAGTGGTAGTAGTAGTAGTGGTATTTCCAGTATGTAGTGCAACGAGTATGAGTAGTAGTAGTAGTAGAAGTACAAGTAATAGTAATCGTAGGGGGAAGGGTAGTCGTAGATGTCTTTTGGAAGCTGCTCGGAGGCCTCTTGGGGCGTCTTCGGCGCCTCAATGATTTTGCTATGAAGGAAGATGAGCGCGGCCCCCTCGGGAGGCCAAAATGGGGCCAAAACCCTAGTAAAAACATAGATTTTGGGTTCACAGAAGAGGAGGGGGCTACAAGAGGGCCCCCCCGTCGGGGCCAGAATCCTCGTGAGGGTAGTCGTTTTTTGGCCCTCCCAGGCGTCGAAAAAGACCCCCCTGACCACCCGCGGGACTCCCTCTCCAGGTCCAGGGGGAGGGGGTAAGGGGGAGGGGTATACCCCTCCCCGAAGGGGAAGAAGGGGGGTTGGGGGGTTGAGAACAGAGAGAGCTCGCTAAACCACTCACGCCCAAAGGGCTGGTGGGATTAATCATTTAATGATGCACACCTGCATACACATATGTAGACATGTTTAGTGGGGTGCTATGTTTTGTTTCCCTTGCCTTTCCTGTTCCCAAGAAGGTCATACGCATGAGCGAACCCAAAAGCAACATACACACCGTCGAGCATCTGATTCAGATACCTCCAAACAAAAACTGGGCCAGCGCTTCTTGACCAACTTGCCGGAGAGCTGGCCCAGATCCTTGAGCGTCTTCGCCCCGCCCCCCCCCCCGAGCGTTCACGCGAACAGGCGACCCAGGCTTGTTTGAAGAAGCTCCCGGGAAGCCGGCCCAGATGTCTGAAGTCATGACACTCTTGATCATATTCCCGGTTGTGCACGGCGAGGCGACCTCGAGTCCATGTGGCTGCAGTGGCACCGCCGGTTGGGCGGGGGCGGCAACTGCGCGCCGCCGCGCCCGGCGTGGCGGGCCGCGGGGCGGCTGCGCGGCGTCCCGCTGCTGCTCGCTGGGGGCGCCCGCGCGGCGCAGGGGCCCGCCGCGGCCGTCATCGCCGTCGCGCCTCCCTCGGGTTTTGCTCGGCCACCGTCGTCGCCGTCCCGCCTCCCTCGTCCCTCCGTCGTCGCCGTCGCGCTGTCCGCCGAGGCGGGCAGGGGGAAGCGGGGAAGGCTTCTTAGAAGCACCCCTGCTTCTGGGAAGGCGCGGGCCTTTTCTGCAGATGTGAGGCCGTCGCCTTCTGAGAAGCAGCCTCCTTCTGCTAAGAAGCCTTCCGTTCTCCCCCTATCCCTCTGCGCGCCGCCAATGTGCTTCCAGCACAACACTCAAACAACGAAAGTACACACATGATGGCGCGGGCACGCTGGGCGCGAAGATAAGCGCGCCGGTCGCTTCGCGGCAGGGGCAAGAGTGGAGGATGACCTGCTCCTGCGGGGGACACGCACGCGAACTGCGCCACTGGGACCTTCGGTGAAGTTTCGCTTGGGGCCACAAAGCGCTGTCCCTGGACTGCGTGGGTGGGAGGAGGGAGGATGGGGAGAGGAGAGGAGAGGAAAGCAGAGGAGGAGGAACGCGGGGCGCTGTCTTTTCAAAACGAGAGGACCCAACACAGGATGGCTGGGAAATGTATATGTCTTATCCGTTATGTCAGACTCTTCTCCCAGACCGCGGACGCGAGTTTTTTCGCCGTTTTCGGCCTCGGGCTTGAGTTTCGAGGGTCGATGCCTACTGGAGCTAGAGTCGTTTCAGATAGCATGTGAACGCACCCCAGGAGAGGCCTCATGCCAAACGTCTTACGCCCAAGCCCACCAGCTTCGCTGAACGAATCACGACCAAAGGATTTTGGCAATTTTCGGCCTCGGGGGGCCCTTTCGGTGCCCCAGGATCGTGAGTTAAACGACACAGGATACACAGCATGAGGAAGGGTTCGGGAATTCTGGGGAACCCTTTTTCTGGAAAAGGAGAAATGACGGTGTGTCAGATCGCCTGGCTCCGGGCTCGGCCCAGACCTCTCCGAGATCCTTCGGCTGTAATCGTTTCACGCCGGGCGTCTTCGCCTGGGGACCTCGCGGATCGATCCAGCTCCCGGAATGCCGCAGAACGATTGGGTCCAGCACACCGGCGTCCGAAGTTTGAGAAACGTTTGGGGGCGATCGAAGATCGAGGATGGACGTTCGGCTCGAGGAGCAAGGTTTCTGTATGTTTTGGCCCTTGTCGGTCGTCGTAGCCGCCGTGGGAGTCGTCGCCGCCCCGTTATTGTCGCCGCAGCCGTCGTTGTCGTCGAATGCTTACTTTACGTGGATAGCTTGGCTGTTCCGCGCGCTCTCGCCTTGACGCCGGCTGCAGGTATGGCGCTCCCGCCCAAGACTAACTAGGGAGTCAGTCAAGTTGGCAAAGGCCCAACTAGGACGACAACGGCTCCCGCTTGATACCTCTTCGCGATTTACTCCATGACGCCATGGCCGAAGTGGCCCCCGAGCTCAGGAATGACGCTCAGGCCCGGGATTTCCCGGCAACTCATTCAAGATAGTGAAGGCCCAGCTGCGACTTCAACGGCATCCGTTCGATATTTCCTCAACGTTTACCCTGAGACGCCATTGGGGCCTCCAAACTCAGGAGATGCGCTCCATTCCGAGTTCTCCTAGCAATTCACTCAAGTCGGTGTTGCCCGCGGGCGCGCTAGTTCGCATGGCGGCCATGGCGGCGCGGTGCGTAAACGAAGTTTTCTGTTAAATGCTTGCTACTCTTAGGAGTTGGCATGAAAAGAAGCACCCACAAAGGGGGTTGTTCGAAAGACTTCGCGGGGGGGTGCAACGGGCAGCGAGAGGCAAATCATCTGTCCGCAAGATCAAAACACATGTTCGCAAGATGGTCGTCGTATTCGACGTTGCCGCCTATGTAGTCGTCGTCGGATGTTCAAGGCTCGAGGGTCGATCGAGGCTCCAGGCATTGAACTTATCATTCCTTTGATTTGGCCTCTGGAGGCCTTTCGGGGCTGGGGACCTCTGGACACTGGGGACCCTCTTCGGGGGGCCTCCAGGGACCACGGCAGAGGCCCCATGAAGAGCCCAGAGGACCCCGGAGGATGGGACCTCCTATAGAGACCTCCCGGTGTCTAGGCCTCCCAGATGGGGTCGGAGTAGATGGGGTCGGAGGATCGCGCCGCATCGCCAATGCATCGGCGATGCGGCTTGATGTGGAGCCAAATTTTCTCCACGCCGGCGGCGCCGCTGCATGGCCGACGTCGCCGGTGCACCGCCAATGCATCGGCGATGCATCCCCGATGCAGCACGATCTTCCGACCCCATCTGCTTCGACCCCATCCAGGAGGCATCTAAGGTGCGAGCCGTCGCCGCGCTGCCGTCTTCGTGGTCGTCGTGGCGCGGTTGGCGCCGTCGTCGTCGCTGCTGCCGTCGTCGCTGTCTTTGCCGTCGTCGTGGTCCGAGGGCACACCGAAGGCCCGGGAATCTGGACGTTTTTGCTAAGGGCAGCGCGACATCAACCACCTCATTCTTCGATGGCGCGCGGTGCGCCCTCCACACCAAACACCTTTCGGTGTCGCGGCCGCGCTCGCAGCTGCGTTGCGGAGTCGGGCGAAAGTCCACGAAGAGGGTGGCCGCAGGCCCTCACCACATCTCACCACACACACACGCGCGTGCTCGCTGGGGCTGCAGCAGCGTGGCAGCGTCGTCGACGCACGGCCCGGCGCTCGAGACCGGCGCACCCTGTTTTTTCGTTGTTGGGCTTCCGGGTGTCTCTTCTAGACATCTCTGAGTCTCGCGCGACATGCGATGTCCCCCAGGGACTGCTTGTCGCCGCCTCCGCAGCCGCCGTCGCCCTCGTGATTGCCGTCGCCGCAGTCGTCGTCGTGTGTGACGTCCTCGCCACCGCTGTCGCTGGTGCCGCCACCGCCCCTTTGTCGCCATTCGCCAGTCGAATCTGAGGCCCAGCCGCTGCCCTCGCGAATTTAAAACAACGTTATCCCATTAATGTTCAGGCCGTCTCTTGATTCGAAGGTGGTTTACGGTCGGACCGAGGTATCAGATCGAGGTCGGTTCGGGGAGGGTACCCTAGAGTTCCTCGTGGCTGTTGGATGTTCTTGTGCATCCTGGGGAGGGTATGCTTGGATGTTCTGTTGATTCTAGCCGACGGAAGGTCTCATGTTCTTGAGGGATGTTATTCTGGCCTAGGTCCGATTGTATCGTCCTGGTGTCTTGGGTTGTTGGTCGCAAGTCCTTCGGTTGTGGCCCGGGCAGGCCTCATTCTAGTTCGAGCAAGTAGGGCGTCGAATAGAATGGTCTCCGTTGCGCGCATTGCTCGTCCAGGGTCGCGCGGGGGGGGGGTACGGGGCTTCTTTTTGAGTGCAAAGCGGCCCCAACGAGGAAACAGTCATAAGATCCGACACCAGAGTTTATGTTTTGTTGCATGCTCGTTTTTCGGAGGTAAATATGAAATTCGCTCTCGCTCCTGAGGGGGACATGTGCGAGTTATTATGCACTGCGTTTTCTTGTTGTGAACAAACCGGTATTGCTAGATATTCTTTATTTTCAGAAACATATTTCTTCAACTAGACTCGGTCGTCAACGCGGCAGGGTGCACAGCGACAAGGGCAGAGAGCTCAACTGGGGAGGGGGGCACAGACGTCATCGGTGAGTGAACGGCGCAGGGTTAATCGAAAGCTTTACGCGTGCGCGCAGCCAGGAAAGAATGCGCGGTTTGCGTGGCGCCATTGCCGGCGTGCTCCATGCGAGGGTGTGGACCGAGACATAGTTTCCGGTATCAATGTCACATTGTTTCAAGTTGGGGGAGGGCCTCCGACTTCGTTAGCTACTCATTTTCGTCCCCGTTGTCGCCATCGTCGTCGCCCTCGTCGCCGTTTTCATTGTCCTTTGTGGAGGCAGTGGGGGAGGATGGGGGAGGAGGAAAAGGGGGAGGAGGAGAAGGCGAGGAGGAGGAGGAGGAGGAGGAGGAGGAGGAGGAGGAGAAGGGACACGATAGAGGTGTTGATTGGCTCTGACAGGGTTGGGTGCTCTGGGATCTTGGGGAGAAGGAGTAAGACGTATATGACGACGGCGATATCAACGACGGGCAAAAAGACAAGGATTTCAGCATAGTCAAGACGCTGCACTGAGGATTTGTTTGGGGGGCCTCAGGATGGGGCCTGGTCTCCAGACCGTTTCTTATATTTAGTCGGAGGGGCGATTCGTGGTCGAAGCATGCCGTGGCCAGAAAAGTCCCTTAGGCTTTTTGCTCTAGCGTCTCGCACGGTAGCATGATGACAACAGAAGCTACAATGGGATGTTTTCTTGGGCAGGATCATATGGGTCGCCTAGGCTGGTCTTCAGGTCCCCTTGGTGCCCTCTTTGGGCGGTCTTGGGCCGTCTGGGGGGAGGAGGAGAGCGCGAGGGGCGGAGGATGAGGATGAGGAGGGGAGGAGGAGCAGGACGAGGACGAGGATGATGGCGTGGATAGCGAGGACCTGGAGGAAAGTGAGGAGTACCCAGCGTGCGCCAGAACGGCGAGAGGCCCCGGCCTTCAGTGGTCGCTGTCGTGCTGCACTCGACGCAGAGGCCCGCCGATCTAAAGGCGACCGTCCTGAGCCTGCTGGATCAGGAGCACCGCGCCCTGCGGCGCAGCCAGCGAAGCTTTCTGCGCTGTCAGGGTTCCGAGGACCGCGCTCCGCGCATTTTTCTCGCGGCTTCCTGGGTTGGGGCCCTTCTCATCGCCACGGCCAGATTCTCTGCGGAAGTCTGGCCAGGATGTCGTCGTCGCCCTCGTCAACGCCATCCGCCATCGTCGTTCTTCCTCCTCCTCCTCCTCCTCCTCCTCCTCCTCCTCCTCCTCCTCCTCCTCCTCCTCCTCCTCCTGTCATCGTCGCCGTCGCCGTCGCCGTCACCGTCGTCGCCGTCCGGCTGAGAGCGCCCAGACCGACTCGGAGCTCCGCGCCGTGCCTTTCGCCGCGCTCGGCGCCTGGGGCGCGTCACGTGACGACTCAGGGTGAAAAGCTCGCCCTGCAGGGTCCATTTCGATCCGGTTTGCGGTCGATTCTGGCAAGCTCGGTACGACACGATTTCGATTCTGATTCCGCCGATCTCGTGCGGCTCGATGGCTGCAGGGCGCTGTTGTGCATCCTGGAGCGGCCGATTCGATTGGATGCCGTCTCTGTGCCGCTGTGGTACGATCCGATGCACGTTCCGATCCGATCCGACGCATCGATTCGATGCCGACCGCTCCTGCCCCAGGGCGGGGGGCCGAGGGCTTCTGCAGCCCGCGGCGCGAGGCAGGCCCGGGCCGCCCGAGGTCTGGGAGGGAGCGGCTCCCTGCGCGCCCGCGGGGCGCTCCCAAGCAGGGCCTCTCGTCCTCGAGGGGGCGGCGGCGCGCCCAGGGGGGAAGGCAGGGCCCTCCTCCCCCTCCCCCTCCTCCTCCCCCTCCCCCCTCTCCTCCCCCTCCTCCTCCTCCTCCTCCCCCTCCTCCTCCTCCTCCTCCTCCTCCTTCTCCTCCTCATCTTCCTCCTCCTCCTCCTTCCGCAGGGCTCCCCAAGCCTTCCGAGGAAGCTCTCCGGGCTCTCCCCCCGCCGCCGTGGGAGGAGGCCCGCCTCCGCGCGCGGTCGCCCCCCGCCCACTTCCACCGGGCCTCGCGCCGCCGAGGGGAGCCGAGGAAGGGGAGTTCTGAGACGGTGCGAGGAGATGGCCAGAGAGATCGTTTTTCCCACACTCTCCGCAGCACGGACGCATGCTGCTCTGAAGGTTCGCTTGCCGCCGACGGCGGCAGTTGGGCCTCGAGAGGTGCCCCGGATCACCAGGGCACCCAAACAGGGCAAGGCTGCCGAGGACCAGATTTCAGGAAAACACCCCCACACCCCGTAACCTGGGTTTGCACTATAGAAATGGGACTTGGGAGGGTGGGGCGCTTTCTGCACATTAAGGAGGGGAGGGGAGGGCGAGAACAGAGGAGGACTGTTTTGCAGCAGGCTGCTGGACGGGAGGGGCATACGGCGAAGCCGTCACGTCTCAGTCCGCCTCTTCTGGGGGCTCGAAGGCCTGGGAACCGTACTCGCCGAGGAGGTCGCTGGCTGCCTTGGCGGCCGAGCTCCAGGGGCTGGTGTCGGGCACGGTGCGGAGCAGCACTCGTAGATCATGTCGAGCTTCTCGTCCTTCTCGTTTAGCTTTTCGTCGGTAGTCGGGCGTTGTGTACAATGAGCGAGTGAGGCCTGCTGTATCTTGCCATGCTCTTGCTCTGCGTCCATCGTCCTCTCGTTGGATCTCCGCGATGGACCGCCTCTTGTGCAGAATGTCGTGGCTCGGTCCTCTGTGTCGTAGAGTATGCTTAGGGCCAATCCAATTCAGATCGCCATCCGAAAGAATCTGTCTCCACACTGATCCAGCTCGGGTCGCGGCGGTGTCGAACACGAGGGCCTGCCTGCCCAGTGCCTTCACACACTCAGCAATGACGATGGCGATCCCCAGGTCGTCGATGGCCACTCCTTGCTCCTGGCCAGTCTTGACGCTCTCGCCTCGATGGCCACCTTGATCGTCCTGGGGTCCTTGGAGTCACCGTAGCTGACGTGCACGTCCTCCACTCTCAGCTGTAACCAGTCTTGTTCTCGTAGATAGCAGTCGTATGTGAGCAGGAACGCCATGCCCTCGTCGACGTGGCCCCTGCGCACTGCCTCTTGTGCTATGTAGTAGATGGCTTCGATGGATGCTGGGCCCCCTTCCCATGTCTGTTGATAGTTCTCCCAACTGTGAAGAGCCCGCAGTTCGATTGGCATCTCGGACCTCCATTCGGGGAGGTTGTGCACCAGGCCGTTGTAGAGCTTGATCCCTCGGTTGGGGGGGGCCCGCTCCACGAAGCACCGGTGGTCCAGCTCGGCGGCCACCGTGATGTCTCGCTTTGGAACACGTCGCGAAGAAACGGATCCACCTCCTTGAGATACTCCTTGTTCGTGTCGTCCTGTACCGCGTGGACCAAGAGCCTCAAGGGGCGCTCGAGCTGCTCGCCCCCTTCTTCTTCACAGGCACGAAAAGGTCGACGCCGCGCAGCTGGAGGAGCTCGCGCCTCTCCCTCGATCAACTTCTTGCTCTTCGCGGATTTTCTTCTCGATTAGCTCCTTTTGTCTGCACCCAGACCCTCCACGTCGCCAGCGATCATGCTGGTCTCCGTTGCAAGATCATCTGAGTCCTCGTCGCTGTCTTGCTGGCCATCCGAGGCGTCATAGCTCGAGAAGGCTTCGTTGGTGTTGGATGAGCTCAATGCGAAGGTTTCGTACCAGGTCGTCGTAGTCAGCAGCACGCCTAGAGATGCCAAGCCTGGGCGTAGCCGTCGTGCATGCCCAGGAGCCTCTCGAAGGGGTGCTGGTCGCTCAGGATGGACTTCTTCTGCTCGGACTTCGCCTTCGTGATCTCCGAGCTGCCGATCCCTTCCCCTCGCGACGGGCCGTCTGCTGGATTCATGTCGGTCGGGATCCATCTCAGGGTGAGCCTCAATCCCGTCGCTAGCGAAAGCGCTCCGATCATCCTCAGCTGCGTCATCAACGGCCTGGATCAGCTCGTCATCTCTCGAACAGCTCCGACAGCGACCTTGGAATCGCACAGCACCAGAAAACGACACTGACGTGGTCCTCGTATGCCCACTCTCCCTTCCACGACAGGTGCCATCTCGATAAACCCGCCCAGTGGTCCATGACCGCTCTGGGCTTTTCCGGAGGGCTCCGAACTTCTCGAACCCGCCAGTCGTGCAGCTCCAACCGTTTGGCCTCGATCGCCTTGCTGACCAGCTTGGCGTAGGCGCTGCAGAGCAGAGGAGGGCAGACGGCGGCGAGCCTGGTCCACAGCTGCCCTTCGGCGTTTCGCCCTCGGAGCTCCTGACGAGGATGGTCTCGAGAGCATCGGCGCGCCAGCTCCCTCAGACTCTCCGCGTTCGTGAGCAGTCGCGTCGGCTTGAGTCACCTCGATCCGAAACAAACAAAAGCACACCAGCTCCACCACAAAGACGCCTGATTGCTCCATCAGCTTCGCAATTTCGGGCAGCTCCCAGATCATCGAGGTCCTGGGGTTCACGAGGGGGGAACCAACGCCTGCAGCCAGGCATGCGAAGCACATGGGGATAGCTGCCTGTGCCAGGGCGCTGCCATCGCGGACGCGCTGTACCAGAGGTGGGGACAGCCCAGGGAGCTCTCGAATCCAGCGCCCAGGCGCGAATCGCGGGCCTCCGCGCTCTGGAAAAGGACGAGCATGGAGGGGCCATGTGCAGCATGAAGAAGAGGCCGAACAGGACGGCTCGGCACATGAGCTCGACGAACGACGGGCCCGTGAGGTCGCGGCGCGGGTAGCGAGCGCTGTCCACGGAGAGGGTCTCGCACTGGTACTCGCTCCGCACCTCCTCTCCGAACCCGCCGTAGCCCGCGAAGACGTCGGCCATCAGCCGCTGCGGGGGGGCGTCGCTCTCGCCGCTGGTGTTCGAGATTCCCCGCTTGGAACGCTCCCAGTCGTCGCATTCAGCAGTAGCTCCTCCTCCCCGTCCCTGGCCATGCCGCGCAGCTGCTGGATGGAGTCTCCACTGTCGGTCCACCTCAGCTTTGACCTCGCTCCTTGCCGCCTGGGTCTCCGCCGCGCCCGCGCCGGCCTCGCTCGCGTCGGTCGCGAACGCGACCACGCTCCAGCGGGGCTCCAGGTGCGTGTACATCGGGGGCGCGAGGTGGTAGGGCATGTGCAGCTCGTTCAGCCTGCTCTCCCAGAGCTCGTGCCTGGTCTGGTCGCCTTCGAACTTCGTCGCGAACTTGTAGCAAGCGTCCAGCAGGCAAAAGGCAGGTCGACAAAACATCGCAAGCCAGTTCCACGAGCCAGCGATACGGGACAGCTCCTGAGACGTTGCTCGGCCCCGAGCCATGACAGCTCCAGTTGCCCCGATCACGTTCTGGATCTTCTCCCTGGAGGCCACGAGTCGGCACGGCTGCTCGGCGATCGTCACTCCAAAAGAGAGGGGCAATGCGTCCCCGACCCAATCCTTGTGCATGTCCAGGCCCGCCTCCTTCAGCTTCGCCCGAGCAGCCTCCTTCACCGTCTCTACGGTCGTCTTGTCGCTCACGTGCACGAGAGTCAGCGAGGCGAAGTCGTCCATGGAAACCCAGTAGATGAAGGCAACCTCGGCGAAGTTCTGGGGGATCAGACCGTGGATCAGCTGGCCGCGACAAGGAAAACCAGGCAGGTCGCATATCATATCCTCTAGCGCTCCGTGGCAGATCGCTGGCGACCAGCTGAACCCCAGCAGCTCACGACAATACAAAGATACTAGCATCCGCTCGGCACGCTGGGCAGCTTCATCCGCCGCCTCTTGAGCTCCTTGACGAACTCGTCGATCGAGACACCTCCGCACGCCATGTAGGGCCACAGTTCGGCACAGCTGCGGCACCAGTGAAAAAAAACGGGCACGTCGCCCCACGTCGACTTCAGAACTCGGCCCTGCGTCACATCGTCGGACAGGTCGAGCTCTGCCATCGCCATCGGACCCTATGTTGAGATGCGGCGGGCTCCTGAAGCGCTTGCTCACGCGCCTCATGTCCCACGCGGGCCTCACCACGTAGACCCCGTCCTCGCGCGTCTTCTTTATCACGA